CTCTTAGTCTCTTGTCTGTGGAAAACTCTATGGTCCTACCAGTCCCAAGAAGCTGGTAAGATCTTGAAGAAGAAACGTTATCAGTCTGTCTAGACCCATTTAATCTTTTCCTATGTGGCAGAAAAGAGGAATGAGGTAGATGAGACACCATTATTAATGTTGTTGTTTTTATTGCTAGTAACTGGATTTTTGTTTTTAAAAAGAGTTAAAACGAATGCTCCTGCAATGGCATCAGAGGATTCTTTCACCACAAAGTAGGCTTGCAGAGTTACCAAGTATTTTTGAGTCAGCATCTGTAGAGAGGAGGTAAAAATATCTGCAGGCAAAAATATATTCTGGAAAAAAAATGCTACTATTTAAGATAAGACTGCAGAGAGAACTGCAAATGGGGAAGAAAAGGAAACCCAGAGAGGGAAAGAGTTACATTTTTTTAAAGAAGCAAAGGAAAAATAAGCATGGGTTTATGTTGAAGTGTGGAGAGCCAGATATGAAAGAAAAGTTTTAACTAGTGAAATGTTTGTACAGTAGTTATTGCAATTTGTACTGCTAACTTCGCTGGGATTCCATTGGGAGGAAATGCAGGATAGAAATGAACAGGAATAAATAAATAAACCTGTCTGCAAATAGAGAAAAAGAGCTGAAAGATCAGGACGGGAGACGGCAGAGAAGCTGAAGGAAGCCTTATATCTGTCTTCACAGATCCCAGTGCCTGAATTAGCTTTTGAAGGAAGGGCATCTGAGGTGATGAGGTAGATAGCGGCGAGGGGAGATGAACTTCTAGGCCTAATGGGGGGGGGGGGAATGGACAAATTGCCCGTTCTGGATAGCATCTAGCTGAGAGTTCTCAAACAACTCAGATGTGAAATTGGTGATCTTTTAACAGAAATATGTCACTTGTCCCTTAGATCAGCCTCCACACTTGAGGACTGGAAAGTATCCAACACAACACCAATCCTTCCCCCCCCCTTTTTTTAAAGGATCCAGGGTGGGGTATTTGTGGGAAATTATAGGCTAGTTGGTTGAACATCTGCTCTAATAAAACTGGTGGAAACATTATTAAAGCTAGAATGATCAAGCATATAGAAGAGCTACTCTTACTGAAGAACCAGCATGGCTTCTTCAATGGCAAGTCCTGTCTCCTAAACCAGGCACGTTGCCTGCGATCTACCAACAGGTATCAAAAATTGGCAGTGATTTACCACCTTCCGAAGTCATTTAAGTTTATGAAATAAATAAATGGATCTTTATTTCACAGATACAGTAGTTATATTTGGATATCATTATGACAGATCCAAATAGTTACTAGATGGACAAGTAACTAAACAAGTGAGAAAAGTCAAACTATATTTTTATATTAGTTTGCACAGAGCTGAGGAGCCATCTTTCTCTCTCTCTCTGTGTGTGTGTGTGTGTGTGTGAACTCTTCCCCTTCCTTCCTTCATTCCTTGCTTCCTTCCTTGCTCCGTGTTTCTCCTTCCCTGCTTCTCTCTCTCCCCTGTCGAAGGGAGCCACACAGCTGATGTGGATCCCAGTAGTGCCTGCCCTCCCTTCCTCTTCTTCTCTCGGTCTTCGGCAGCCGCCCCCTTCCCCCATCAGGAAAGCTGCCCTGACTGAGCCCACCTCCCCTCTTCCAGCAGCAGCATTGCACAGACCTGTCCCCAGCTCCCTCATGCCTCCTTCCATCGCCCTGCATGCTGCTCAGGGTTGCATCCCTGAGGAGACTGGCAGCAGTGGCGGCTGCTGCTGCATCTGAGGTTGCAGAGAAAGGCCCTGCAATCAACCAAAAACAACCCTGCGGTCCACAAGGGGCTCGTGATCGACGTGTCGTACGTGGCTGTCCTAAACCAATTAAGTTCTTTGAGAGTGTCAACAAGCAAATAGATATATGTGATCTGGGTGACATTGTATATTTGGGCTTTCCAAACGTTTTCAACAAGGCATCTCACCAAAGACTCCTGAGTAAGCTTAGTAGTCATTGAAGAAGAGCAACCAAAATGATCAAGGGGGTTAAGCAACTCTGCATTGAGTGTGACCTGGGGAATTTTTAGTTTTGAGAAAAGGTGACTAAGAGTTGACATGCTAGAACAGAGCTTCCCAAACTCCATCGTTCTGCCCGGACACTGAGGTCCAGCACTGAGGGCCTTCTGGTGGTTCCCTCGCTGCAAGAAGCCAAGTTACAGGGAACCAGGCAGAGGGCCTTCTTGGTAGTGGCGCCTGCCCTGTGGAATGCCCTCCCACCAGATGTCAAAGAGAAAAATAACTACCAAACTTTTGTTGTTGTTTAGTCGTTTAGTCATGTCCGACTCTTCATGACCCCCTGGACCAGAGCACGCCAGGCACTCCTGTCTTCCACTGCCTCCCGCAGTTTGGTCAGACTCATGTTTGTAGCTTCGAGAACACTGTCCAGCCATCTCGTCCTCTGTCGTCCCCTTCTCTTTGTGCCCTTCATCTTTCCCAACATCAGGGTCTTTTCCAGGGAGTCTTCCCTTCTCATGAGGTGGCCAAAGTATTGGAGCCTCAGCTTCACGATCTGTCCTTCCAGTGAGCACTCAAGGCTAATTCCCTTAAGAATGGATAGGTTTGATCTTCTTGCAGTCCATGGGACTCTCAAGAGTCTCCTCCAGCACCATAATTCAAAAGCATAAATTCTTTGGTGATCAGCCCTCTTTATGGTCCAGCTCTCACTTCCATACATCACCACTGGGAAAACCATGGCTTTAACTATACGGACCTTTGTTGGCAAGGTGATGTCTCTGCTTTTTAAGATGCTGTCTAGGTTTGCCATCGCCTTTCTCCCAAGGAGCAGGCGTCTTTTAATTTCGTGACTGCTGTCACCATCTGCAATGATCATGGAGCCCAAGAAAGTAAAATCTCTCACTGCCTCCATTTCTTTCCCTTCTATTTGCCAGGAGGTGATGGGCCCAGTGGCCATGATCTTCGTTTTTTTGATGTTGAGCTTCAGACCATATTTTGCGCTCTCCTCTTTTACCCTCATTAAAAGGTTCTTTAATTCCTCCTCACTTTCTGCCATCAAGGTTGTGTCATCTGCATATCTGAGGTTGTTGATATTTCTTCCGGCGATCTTAATTCCGGCCTGGGATTCATCCAGCCCAGCCTTTCGCATGATGAATTCTGCATATAAGTTAAATAAGCAGGGAGACAATATACAGCCTTGCCGTACTCCTTTCCCAATTTTGAACCAGTCACTTGTTCCATATCCAGTTCTAACTGTAGCTTCTTTAAGCAGAGGCTTGACAACCATATGTCAGGAGTGCTCTGATGGTGTTTCCTGCTTGGCAGGGGGTTGGACTCGATAGCCCTTGTGGTCTCTTCCAACTCTATGATTCTATGATTCTTGTCCCACATAGAGATTTCTCAGGAGACAGATGAGGTGATCAGGCACTCCCATTTCTTTAAGAACTTGCCATAGTTTGCTGTGGTCCACACAGTCAAAGGCTTTTGCATAGTCAATGAAGCAGAAATAGATGTCTTTCTGGAACTCTCTAGCTTTCTCCATAATCCAGCGCATGTTTGTAATTTGGTCTCTGGTTCCTCTGCTCCTTCGAAATCCAGCTTGCACCAAACTTTTAGAAGACAACTAAAGGCAGCCTTATTTAGGGAAGCTTTTAATGTTTAATAGGTTATTGTATTTTAGTGTTTTGTTGGAAGCCGCCCAGAGTGGCTGGGGGGTTTAAATGATAAATTATTATTATTATTATTATTATTATTATTATTATCCCCTAGGTTCAATGCCCAGTGTGTGGGGGTGTGTGAGAGAGAGATAGAGACCTAACTTTGGCAAAGGCTGTGCTGTGTGCACTGAATTTCAGTGGCTGCCCACTGGCAGCCCACCCCTTTTCTGAAAAAGATCCTCCACAAGGAGATCAAAGAGAAAGCCTCATGGGGACCACCTTCTCCTTGTCCTTGCCAGTACACTCTTCATCTGGAAAGTGCCCTCTGATAGCGAAGCTGACAGATGCATTATTCACAGCTCAGCCTTTCTCGGAACTCACCCCAAGAAAACGGATAAGACTTTAATATATTCAAATATACACCAAGCTTCCCATTTGCAGCCCACCCACTCCCCTTCAAAACCAGTTTGTTCTTCATGCTGTGTACTTTCCAGAAGGCTCCACAAGAATTGTGAGGCAGCCTGTTACTTCACTGTAGGCATCAGCCAGTCAGTATTCCCCGACTTCTAATATCACCATGTTTAACAAAGAAAAAAAGAAAAAAAGGCACCAGCAGGAGTTTTCCACCCTAAGGACATCCCTTTGTTCAGGGAACAGCTTGCTGCTGTTGCAGAAGAAACTAGATGTGGGCAGTCCCTTTGCTACCACGTGCTCACAGACTCCACTTTGCCAGAAAAATGTGGGGAAATAGAACTTGAGATTCATTTAGTTCTGAAGATGGATATCATGCATTAGGGTTCTTCAAGGACCATTAGCTGTTAGAAGGTGACCATTTGGCAGCAGAGTCAACACTGTGTCTGTTTCCTGGACATTCAATAAATCTCAGTGTTTGATCCCTCAGAAGAGAAAATAAAGAGCACATCAGAGTTTGAGAAGAATGGATGAAGCACCCCAGTTTGTAAGCCTTTTTAAAACACCTAAACACAAGGGTCAATCCACAATTTCTATGCCATCCTCAGTGTTACCCCACCATTCCAAAGGTTTTCTGAATGTTTGATTCCTCCTACTAGAATGAGTGAATCTACCAGTTTCAATTTTCTCAGTTTCTAATTTCCAAGTCTTCAACTCAATTCTCCATGTTTCCACATTACTTGTGATTGTTGTTGTTGTTATTCTTATTAATAATAATAATTTTAAAAGTCCTCATGAAATTCAGTGCACATTTCCCCTAATATAAACATTTTTGTGTGCCATTTTGCTTATTACACACATTTTTGCAAAACAATTCCCCCCTAAATTGAAGCATAGAATCATAGAGTTGGAAGGGATCTACTCCAACCCCCTGCATTGCAGGAAGAGGCAGCTGTCTTGTACGGGGATCGAACCTGCAACCTTGACGTTATCAGCACCATGGTCTAACCACCTGAGCTAATATGTGAATTTTATTCATCTTTTATTGTGGTATATGCATTTTTGTATATGGAAAAAATCAGAGAACTGCAAATTTTGAAGGTTGGTGCATTTTATTTCATGTGCTGTCTTAGAAAGTGAGGATTAGCTAAGTTCACCTTTGAATACAAACTGAATCAAATTTATTTCCCATTCCTAAATTCTTGTAGAACTCCGTTTCAGTCCTCTTATCTTTAGCAAATTTTCCCCACCCTCACACTTATTTTTCTTCCTGCTTTGGGGTATTCAAAGAGTCCCCCATCATGTTAGCAGCATGGCCCAGGAATGACAATTTCAGTGCTGGGGAACAGTGTGTGAGTGAACTTAGTGGGACAGAAGAATGCCTGTCAAAGGCTCTCAAAGCAAAATGGCTTTGAACTCCAAGGGAAGCAGCCTTATATAGACCTTCCCCTTCCCTCTTCAGCAAGGGCTTTTCCCCATGAGCACATCACACAGAGATGTGTTTTGCTGCAATGGATGGTCCACAGCACTGCCAGGCAAAGGCGTCCCACGCTTATTATGAGACTTCTAGAAATGAGACTTCTAGAAAAATAGCACTGAATAAAACTATATACCATATTTTTCGATCTATTGGACGCACCGGACCATAGGAGGGGAGAACAGGAATTTTTTTTTTTCTTGTTCTCCCCCTTTAAGTCAAGGTGCATTCTGTGCACTCAATGGGTTCCCGCTGGGCTCTGGAGGCTTTGGGTTCCTTTCGACCTGCTCTTTGGGGCTGGAGGGGGGGGCGCTGCTTTCTCCCACCGCCAGCCTCCAAACCAGGTCGGGCAACAGCGGGAAGGTGGTGCTCCGCTTCCCCGCTGTTCCCCGAGCTTGAGGGGCTGGTGGTGGGGAGAAGCGCTCCTTTCCCCCACCGCCAGCCTCCAAACCAGGTCAGGTTTGGAGGCTGCTATCCGCAAGCCTTGGGAGCCCGGCGGGAACTCTAAAGCACCGACCCCTCTCGCTCTCCAGGCTTCAGCGAAAGCCTGCATTTGCTCCATAGGATGCACACACATTTCCCCTTCATTTTTGGAGGGGAAAAAGTGCGTCCTATAGAGCGAAAAATACGGTAATTTTGTGTAATCATGAACTGGACCTGCGTTGCCAAAAATGTTTGATGTCTTCAGGTAGATTTCACACATCCTTATGCAGGAGCCTTTTATGGTCACAAGTTGGTAGCTTCAGTTTTCTTAGAAAAAGTATCATTCACACGGCCCTGTACACCTGAGTTCAAGGACAGGATGGTTTTGTTTTGGGATTTTGACTCTTAAGATTTTCACAAAATCATTTTTTGCACATCTGATTAGAATTTGACAGGTAAAGATGAGAACAACAGTTTAATTGAAAGAACAAATGTGAGCAATGTATTGCAATACATATTTTCTTCCAGCTACCCAGTAGGTGACAATTATGCTGGTACTTGCATCTGAACAACAGAACATCTTCCCTGCATGTCGGCTGCCTGAGCCTAATCAGGCATGAGGCTTCACAATCATGATGAGATATATGGGACATGCTAAGCAAAGGCATGTAAATTCCATGGGGATCTCTGCATTTCCACAATAGCAACTGCACACTAATAATATCTGCTCTATTAATTGAGTGCGTAGGACACAATCCAGCCATAGTTTAGGAGAAAACATTAGGCTGTGCTTAATTCTTCCACTGGGATCAGCTGCATTTTAACTTCAGCTGCATTTGGCTCATAGGTTTTAACTTGAAATAATAATCTTTTCTTAGTCTCATGGACAGGCAGCTAGGAGCGTGGCCAGATGACAAGGAATGTAGGATTCTTACATTTGTTCTGGAGACAGAAGTTCAGCAGGTGCAACTTGGCATGCAGGGATGAGAAAAGATGAATTTGCTTAAATTTCCTCCTCAACCTATTAAATGCAGATCAATATATATTTAGGACACATCTTATCTACATTTTAGATACATTTTGTGTATATATTTCTAGTAGTGCATGAACAACTCTCAATTTAAGGAAATTATCTAACTGAGCTATTCTACAAATGCTGTTTATGTAAGGTTAGTATATGATAGTGATCAATGGCCTTCATTTATCTCGATTCCTTAGAATCATAGAATCATAGAATCATAGAGCTGGAAGAGACCACAAGGGCCATCGAGTCCAACCCCCTGCCAAGCAGGAAACACCATCAGAGCACTCCTGACATATGGTTGTCAAGCCTCTGCTTAAAGACCTCCAAAGAAGGAGACTCCACCACACTCCTTGGCAGCAAATTCCACTGTCGAACAGCTCTTACTGTCAGGAAGTTCTTCCTAATGTTTAGGTGGAATCTTCTTTCTTGTAGTTTGGATCCATTGCTCCGTGTCCGCTTCTCTGGAGCAGCAGAAAACAACCTTTCTCCCTCCTCTATGTGACATCCTTTTATATATTTGAACATGGCTATCATATCACCCCTTAACCTCCTCTTCTCCAGGCTAAACATGCCCAGCTCCCTTAGCCGTTCCTCATAAGGCATCGTTTCCAGGCCTTTGACCATTTTGGTTGCCCTCCTCTGGACACGTTCCAGTTTGTCAGTGTCCTTCTTGAACTGTGGTGCCCAGAACTGGACACAGTACTCCAGGTGAGGTCTGACCAGGGCAGAATACAGTGGCACTATTACTTCCCTTGATCTAGATGCTATACTCCTATTGATGCAGCCCAGAATTGCATTGGCTTTTTAGCTGCCGCGTCACACTGTTGGCTCATGTCAAGTTTGTGGTCAACCAAGACTCCTAGATCCTTTTCACATGTACTGCTCTCAAGCCAGGTGTCCCCCATCTTGTATTTGTGCCTCTCATTTTTTTGCCCAAGTGCAATACTTTACATTTCTCCCTGTTCAAATTCATCTTGTTTGTTTTGGCCCAGTTCTCTAATCTGTCAAGGTCGTTTTGAAGTGTGATCCTGTCCTCTGGGGTGTTAGCCACCCCTCCCAGTTTGGTGTCATCTGCAAATTTGATCAGGAGGCCCTTGAGTCCATCATCCAAGTCGTTGAGAAAGATGTTGAATAAGACCGGGCCCAAGACAGAACTCTGTGGCACCCCACTAGTCACTCTTCTCCAGGATGAAGAGGAACCATTGATGAGCACCCTTTGGGTTCGGTCAGTCAGCCAGTTACAAATCCACTGAGTGGTAGCATAGTCAAGACCGCATTTTACCAGCTTCTTTACAAGAATATCATGGGGCACCTTGTCAAATGCCTTGCTGAAATCAAGGTAGGCTACATCCACTGCGTTCCCTTGTTCTTCCAAATACTAAAAAACCAACAACCCAAAACACATTCCTGAGTCTTTTGAAAGGTACACAAAGGATCACAAAAAGCAAATGGATTTTGCTTCAGGACTGAGTTGGCTCTGATTGTCCCCTGGCAGAGCCAGCACTAGAGAAGGAAAGGTTTCTCTAGCACTAGAGATAAAGTAGCTAAATCTTGATGTTCTGGAAGGGCTTCCTCCCTGAAAGTAGATTTCAGATGTGTATGGAGATGTGTTCAAAGCAAACAGACTAAGGATTCCATTTGTGAAATTTAGGCAGGAAATTTGGTATGTTCTCTCTGTATGCTAACAGATGGCAGAAGTTGGTGTGTCTTACCACGGCATCTGAATCCAGCTTGAGGAGGGCAGAGCCAAGCTATGCAAAGCAGATGACAATGCATTCACATCTCTATGCTAGGCAGGATCTTCCCTGTGGGGAATAATGTTTCTATTCTCCACCTGCCGGTGAGTGCAGAGAAGACAACAGGAAAGGAAAAGATATGGGACACGGCTTTCCTTGTTCTCTCTAGCAATTAAATAACATAAATAAACAATGAAGCGCTATGCTGCTGTCAGGATGAGGATCAAATGCCTGTTGCAGCTTTGGGAATTGACAATCACTACAGGTTCTGGGGGGACACGGGTGGCGCTGTGGGTTAAACCACAGAGCCTAGGACTTGCCGATCGGAAGGCCGGCGGTTCGAATCCCTGCAATGGAGTGAGCTCCCGTTGCTCGGTCCCTGCTCCTGCCAACCTAGCAGTTCGAAAGCACACCGGCGGGAAGGTAAATGGCATTTCCTTGCGCTGCTCTGGTTCACCAGAAGCGGCTTAGTCATGCTGGCCACATGACTCCCTCAGCCAATAAAGCGACATGAGCGCTGCAACCCCAGAGTCGGTCATGACTGGACCTAATGGTCAGGGGTCCCTTTACTTTATTTTACTTACAGGTTCTGGGAGGCTTCTTTCCCTATGATGTCTCATGAAGAGATGAATGTAGCAGCCAGCCTTGGGAAATGTCAACCACTGCAGGTACTAGGAGGCTTTGTTTTACAGGCTGCCTCATCAAGAGATGACAGAGCCAGCCTGAAGGGGAATTAAGTAGCAAATACAGCATTTCAAGTAGGTCAAACACCTTTGCTGCGGTTTGTAAAATGTTAAGCTTCTCTCCATTTTCTTATCTAATCAAATTCTTTATCTAAGTTCTACTTCAGTAACTGTGACAGTGAATAAGTTCATCATGATAATGTTTCAGAAAGCTGAAATAGTGATAAATTGCATTTCTATTTGTTTTAGGATGATGCCTATGTAAATTGACTTTTAAAAAGCTGAACTTTAATTGGAAAAGTTAATGCTTTAATGAAACAGGAGATGGGTTTGTTCACTTGGTGTCCATTAATGCTGTCAGCATTCAGTACAGTTGAGCTGATCCAGTCTTAAAACTTTTAATGCAATAAGAACTTTAAGTGCTCTCATACCTCTGCTTATTATCCAGCAGAACATGCAGTGCTGGTTATTCTGGGCTGTGGGGAGGGAGCAAATCTGCATACAAATTCAGTTCTCATCAAAGGTGAAGTTCAGTCTGGATGCCAGTCTCCTTTAATCAGCGACATGGGATGATGGACTTCTGCATTCCTATGGCATGCAGACATAGGAAGCTGATTAATGGTAAGGATCAAATCACACATGATCCCACAATTCATTCCTCCTCATTTTATTACTTAATATAAAGCAGACTTGAGCAGGATACAAATATCAAATTGGACGAAAGGCATGCAGCCAAATGCAGCCTGGTGCCTCGGCTTAACAGTCCCAAGCAAAGAGTACTGGCATTTGAGCCTCCGCCAGGCACCACGAAGAGCAGGGCAGTGGGAGACAGCAGGGAACCAATGCTCACCTGACTTCCAAAGACTGAACATCGCTGCCAGCTGCTGAGGCGGAGGGCAGTGAGGTGGCAGGGAGTGTGGCCGTGGCCATGCCAGATTGGCTGCATCACTGTGCCATCCAATTGCCAGCCCTCATCCTTCTCTTGACCCCATCTCCCTTTCCGTAACCAGCGGTGTCACTGGGGGGTTGGGAAGCCAGGGGAGCGATGCCACCTCACCTGTGCTGCACCACGAACCACTGCAGGGGTAGTGGCTGTAGGCAAAAGCAGGAATTGGTATCTGTAGGTTACAGTAAGGGCTTTTGGTATATATGTGTAATTTGGACTCTGCTTTGGACAGCAGAATGTCTTGGGCTGGCACTGCTAATATCGCATACTTTAGTTGGCAGAGACACTCCTTGCAGCCCTGCTTTCCACATAATGTTTTCACTGGGAATGCTGAGGATTGAACCCAGAATCATCTGTGAGCAAAATATACGTTCCTCCACCCAGAGGTGTAGCGGAGTGGGGGGTGCAGGAGCGACAGTATCTTCTGGAACAACTGATGGGTCATCTTTGCTCTGGCTACTGAATGAGAAAAACATGACGCCTTCAAGCTTTTTGTGGCAGATTAGTATAGAGAAGGTCAGAGAATGAGGGCAATAATCAAGCAAAGGCTAGGTACTTCTTTCCTTTCGTTTGATAGGATTTGTATTTCATGCTACAAGTTTAAATGACAAGGCTAGTGCCAGAATGTAATTAAGATTTGAGGTGTTGAATTAAATTTGTGTTAAAAAACTAAGTGTCAGACTATCTAGGGCTAGAATCTAAGGATGTTTAATGTGTATTCTAGGCATCAGTAATTTAGCTAGTCAAGTAGACACACTTCCTGGGTTGTGTATTCAACATTGTATTCCTAGCCAAATCAGCAAGTCTTTGTGAGGGAGGAAAGAGAGTCCTCCCTTCCTCAGTAGCTAAAGAGGGTTTAGTTTAGGGAAGGGTGGAGTAATGAAACCAGGAAGCCGAGAGGAGCAGTTTAGCCAGGATGTGGCCTGCAGAGCAAGAGAGGCTGCAGAGGAAGGATGAAGCTGAAGCTGTTACTATGGAATAAGCTGGAGTGTTTTGGGGTGCTGTTGCTGTGACCCCCTCCATTGAAACTTGTATATATGTGTAAATAAAGCATACAACATAAAGACAACGAAGGCCTTGGGGAGTGTACATATCACAATTGCCAGAGGATGTACAAGATGCAGTTATGCCCATTCCCTGGTCAGTATGCATAGTCTGCAAACCTTTGCTTTCTGTCTCTACTTGAGGAGTGCAATCTGTGGTCCCTTGGCTGCACCCTCTGCCGACTCTTCCGTGGCTCAGAACACCATCAGAGCACTCCTGACATATGGTTGTTAAGCAGAGGCTTGACAACCATATGTCAGGAGTGCTCTGATGGTGTTTCCTGCTTGGCAGGGGGTTGGACTCGATGGCCCTTGTGGTCTCTTCCAACTCTATGATTCTATGATTCTATGATTCTATGCCCTCCCATAGATCAGCTGAGCATAGGGAAGAAGGGCTAGAGCTTCAGCAGTCTAGCCTCCTTTTCCTCTTTGTTCCCTGGTCACGCGACCTGCGCAGGAGGGTTACATGAAGGGGTTGTTCAAACCTTCCTGCACCTTCTGACTATGATTTTACCACATGCACCACAGGGCTGCTCCACATACGTTCATTTGGCACACAAATTAAGGGCAATTACTTACTTTTAAGGCACATTATATAGAGTTTAACATTCCACATGACTTTCACCTCTGTAAATAGTGCAGGGCTCAGGAGAAATTCTTTCATCACCTAAAAATATTTTTTGCCCAATTAACTTACCACTTCTTACATGGAACTAGCCACTGGGGAACACAAGGTGCACTATAAAAAAATGGAGTTGTTTATTTGGTTTATTTTCACACCTTTACATTTTTACCTGTATGTATAATATTATTGTATTTCTTTGCTGCTATGCCTATGAGTTATGACTAAATACTGTATTTTTCCGTGTATAAGATGAGCTTTTTTGACCCCAAAATTTAGGTTCATCTTATACATGGGTAGTGCTGAGGGAGGACGCGTGAATGGTTTTTTGGTGCGAGCCCAAGATTCTAAGCGGCAATCAACTGCTTGATTGTTGGGGGAGGGGGTGCCTAAAATCGCTCGCCCATCAGAACGCAGCACATAACCGCTCATGTTGCTTACAATTGCTGCTTACATTCTCGGGCTTGCACTTCATTGCGACGGGTGAGCGATTTCCGGCATCTCCCCCCCCCCCCACAATCAAGCGGCCAGTGATGCACCACTTAAAAACTCGGGCTTGCACTTTGTTCCAGCCCGTGAGTGATTTTCAGCATTGGCTGCTTGATTGTTGGGGGGGGGGGGGCGGAATCCCGAAAATTGCTCACCTGCCGGAATGCAGCACACAACTGCTCCCATCGCAGCTGCCTGATTGCTGCCATTAGCCCTCCTGTTTGCTGCTGTGGCAGCCAATAGACAGCTGCCTTTGTCGCAGCAAGTGGGAGCGTGATTGGCAGCTGCTGGCGGCAATCGGGGAGCTGATAAGCCCAGGCTTTTAGCGGCGATTGGCCACTTGATTGTTGGGGGGGGGGGATATGCCGAAAATTGCTCACCCGTCGGAAAGAAGTGCAAGCCCGAGATTGTAAGCAGTAATTGTAAGTGAAGCGAGTGCTTGTGTGCTGCAATCTGGCAGGTGAGTGATTTTCGGCATACCCCCCAAATAATCCTTCCCAAAAACTCAATCCCCCCCTATTTTCTAAATTTTGAGGCTCCAAAAATAGGGGGCATCTTATAGACGGGAGTGTCTTATAGACGGAAAAATACGGTATATGTTCACATTTTGTCATACCAACATTGTTATATTGATTTATATTGTTTGAAAAATAAAAATGTTACAAAAATAAGTGTATCATTTGTCACCAATAAAATGAACCGCAGAGTGACCTGTACAACCACATGCCCACATAGTTGTCATTGTGTTGATTGTGTTTGCCTTTCTGTGCATAACCATTGTTAGAGACAGCGAGTTTGTTCCGCTTGCCTGCCCAGCTATTGCTACCACCACCCAACCCACGGGCCACATTTGACTCAGAAGGTGAAAAAGGAAGTGTGGTGGGTTTGTGCACCTTTCATGGTCTCAGCCACCCACATACCACCACCATATAGTGCCAGGGCAGCTGCTGCCACATTGTTGTTGCAGCAAAGCATTCAGCAGAGCTCTTCCGGGGTCACCAAGACCTTGCGGACGAGGAGAGGGGGCTCTGGAGTGGGCCTGCCAGGGGTGCAGGAGGAATCAGCTTCCAACAGAATTTCCATACCTGGAATTTTGACCTGATCGAGCTTTGCCCACATTGGGACGGCCTCTTGCATCAAGCACTCTTTTATGTCCAAGCCTTTGCCCTCCTTAAAGTGTAAAAAAATGTATAGAAAACTGTACAAAAATGTACATGGAAAAGTATATTATCTCATATTATCTCATATTATGAAAATATCTCATATTATGTGTTACTACATTTCTGAAATGTAGTAACACATAATATTTCATAATATGAGATAATATACTGTGGGGATGCAATAGAAAAATAGCACCCTTGTGCAAGATTGTGCAAGAGGAAACATCTGCTGACTCTGCTGACTTGTTCCCCCCACACGCCTGGGTCACTGTCGCGCTGCCTAACCGCAAAGCTTACGCGGCTGTCATGCTGTCTGGAGTTATGTCCTGGTAGAGAATAGTTATTCTAAGAAATGCAAACCCTAGCTGTTTTCCACCCGAGTGCTACACGTGTATATGCAACATGATGTAATGTGCGCAAGGCTAATAAACATGCAAGGCTGCTGGGAGAGAGAGCTCACTCCTTGCTTAAACCTTCACCCATGACTCTTCGTCATTTTCCTCCGCACCTGGTGGGCTGGTTCCCCGACAAATGGTGCCTCGTGTGATTGCCTGAACGGCTTCCAGGACGCGTGCTGTCAAAGACGGTCCTCCCTGCTACTCACCCGCCCGGCTGTGGCTCAAGGCGCCTTCTCATCTTCGGATCCCCGGTGAGTAGCTATTTTTCTATTTTTATCATGGGTTCTGCGCTCTCCAACCCTCAGAAACAATTTTTAAAAGACATGCAGCACCTCCTTCGGGAAAATAAACAGCAAGTACCTGAAGGTGATCTAATTGCATTGATTCTGGCCATAGATGAACATTGTCCATGGTTCCCTGAGGACGGGACATGGGAAATACCAGACTGGAACAGAATTGGCGACCACTTTCATGGCCATGGCCGCATAAATGTTCACGTCCTCAGTGCCTGGGCTAAAGTCCGTGGCTGCATGGCAACTCTTACGCCCAAAACATCCTCTTGGCTTCGTTGCAACCACAACAAGAAACAGTCCTGAATATGCCTTTCATATATCCGGCTGCACCGCTTCAACCACCACCTTTTACTCCGCCACGACCACCAGATTATCAGCCTCCGCCGACGCCACTGGGGACTGCAATTAAACAAGCAGCCCCCTCTTAGGTCTTTCATCTGGCACGCCAGTGGCTAAAGTCATACTGCTCCTGCGGATGCCACAACTCCTACAGATACCCCCTTAATTGCTGCTGCAATGCCTCTCACAGCTCAGCGCCCTACATTAAAAATGACACTGGGTGGACGTGAGGTAGAGGGGGTTCTGGATACAGGGGCAGATGTTACTGTGATTGCTAAACAAGACTGGCCTCCCGAATGGCCCACAAAGGCAGCTGCGCAGGTTTTGGGTGTCGGGGAGAAGCACCAGCCTGTCAAAGCCTCCACCCAATTGATATCCTTGTGGCTGCGAAGCACATATCAGTGGAATTATTAAGAGACCTTACATCTGCTCTGACAGATTTTGGACTGTGTATTGCCCCAGATAAGGTTCAGCAAACTTTGCCTATGTTATATCTTGGACATAAATTGACACAACAAGCTGCTATTCCGGTTGTTCCCCAATTGTCTTTTCCTGCCCGCCTACGGCTGGTTGACCTTCAACAACTTTTGGGACACCTGAATTGGATTAAGAATTACCTTAATCTGCCTACTAGCACCTTGTCACCATTGTTTTCTGCCTTACAAGGACACAAACTACCCGGAGAAGTCATCCCAGTTACAGAAGAAATGCTACAAGCCTTACAACAGGTTAATGCTTTATTAAGAGACCGAATGGTGGATCGCATAGACACTCTGCACAATGTGCAGTTATCCTTGGCAATTTTTTCCACACCTTTGCTGCCTACAGCCATTCTCTACTCACAGAAATCGGCTGCCCCTCGGGTGTCAACATTGTGGAATGGATCCACCTTCCGCATACTCCACCGCGTAACATTTATTCCTCTCCAGCGGCTGTAATGGATTTGGTAATTAAAGGGCGCGCTCGAGCAAAAGCCCTCTCTGGACTGGACGTTGAAAAATTTACTTGCCTTTTTCACTCACAGAAACACAACACCTGATTTCCACCTCCGTGGCTACTCAAGTAGCACTTGTGGATTTTTTGGGAACCATCACGCATAATCCCCCCTCTGATCCACGCTTGGCTTTTCTTTCTCAAACTGTCTATACTTTAAAAACTGCTCTTTCTCCGACCCCCATCCCCTCTGCCCTTACCCTTTTCACTGATGGGTCAAAAACGCGGGGGGTGGTAGCATGGGAAGAGGGTGGAAAATGGAAAACTGAATTTACTGAGCAACAGAGGTCCGCCCAGCGGGCTGAACTTGCTGCTGTAATCCTTGCCTTTCAACTCTTTCCTGACAAACCTTTTAATTTGCTTGTTGATACACAATATGTGTATCGCCTTCTGTCTTCCCTGCCTGTTTCTTATATCACGCCTGCGTTAGATGCTGATTTGTTTGTTCTTTTTTCTACCTTGCAGTATCTTATTCAAGAACGCCGTCATCCTTTTTATGTTGCACACCTTCGTTCCCACACCAATCACCCAGGGTTTTTGGCTCAGGGAAATGCCGTGGCAGACGCTGCACTGCGATCTGAAGTGTTTTCCTTGTTTTCTGACCCTATTCTCTCTCATTCTACCTTTCACCAGCCTGCTAAAGTTTTGGCAAAAATGTTTAAAATCCCTATTGCACAGGCACGAGACATTGTCTCTCAATGTCCTACCTGTTCTAAGGCTCCAACCATGATTCCCTTTGATGCGGTGAACCCTAGGGGTACGTCCCCTCTTGCGGTTTGGCAGATGGATGTTACTCACACCCCTCTGCTCGCCCCATTTTCAAAAGTTCACTTGACAGTGGACACCTCATCTGGATTTATCTGGGCCACCCCATTGAAGGGTGAGACCGCTCGTCACGTCATTCAGCACACCCTGCGCTGTTTTGCTGTGATGGGTAAGCCACAAAGCATTAAAACGGATAATGGCCCAGCCTATATTTCCTCTCA